ATATAGACTGTTTTGGCCGAGATCCCTGTGATTTTCCTTCTAATTATTATATATAACATATAAATAACAGTGATGTTAGTCAGTTGAATAGCGGAACCGTGCTGGTCAGTCAGCCCCAATGAGGTAGGCCAGCCCCTTAAATGTAAAAAAATAATAGGTCAATTTTTTTTAGAGTGACAATTCAAAATTGTAGGTATAAATTAATAATATTTACTACTTCTTATAGATTTGATTTGAGGGGATTTTTACTTTTATTGGGGTTGACTGAACAGCACGGTTCCGCTATTCAACTGACTGACTAAAATTACTGTTATTTATACGTCATATATAATATATTGTATAACGATTTTCAGCTTTGGTAAATTCGTTGCATTACCCAAGTGATCTCGGCAACTTTAACAAGACACCCTGCTAGGTCCTTGTTCTAAGTTTCGCTTGACTGACCGTGGTATATTTATGTACCTAACTATTGTAGTCAACTGTCTAAAAACTAGCTTTAGTAAATTCAGAGAATTTTTTCGGCGCTGGCTTTTGTCTAATTATGAGGACGTTGTTTATGGCCCATGTCTGCTAGAAAGAGATAAATGCCGTATTCAACGTACATATACTTATACAGAACCACTGTTTGAGGTTAATTGGAGGCCAAAACAGAGCCAGGAATTAATAAGCATCAGCTAAATTAGGAATTTGCATTATTGGCTTAAAATGGACGCCTCTATCCTTTACTCGTTTTGCTACACAAAACAATTTCAAGAAAGTGCCTTGATTATTGTACAGAAGAAAAATAAAGTAACATTCTGAAATACATAATCTACCCCAGAAGCACAACAATATTGGTGAAATATTATATTTATATATTGGTCCAAGAATGGAAACGCGAGATTTTTTTTTAATGGTCCAATATATATTTTAAATATGAATCCGATATTGGAGATAAATATTGTCCCAATATTGCGAATTAATAAATATGGAATATTGCTTTTAGAAATATACCCAATATTTGTTTTTCAGATTGGCACAATATATACTTTTCATATGAATCCCATTTGAATATAAATATTTCTCCAATATTACCAATTAATAGATATGTAGTATTTCTCCTAGAAATATTTACAATACTTATCTCTTTGGAAAAACACATGTATTTACCCAAAGCTTCAACACCTGCAGACTAGACCGGTTTTAAGTTTTGAGCTTGTTAGCGAAGCACACCAACTTAAAGAAACAGATTTGAAGGAAACTCAAACGCTAGGAAAGAGCAAGGCCATCAGTAGCGCGTGGTGCCCTCTCTCTGTAGTCCTGACCCACATAACAGTGAAAGAACATTCATATTCTCAGAATATTCCCTCAAAGTGCTTTTTGGAATGTTCTTTTAGGAATGTTCAATGAATATTCTAAGATTGTTTCGATTGAAATATTCATTTTTGGACGTTCTATTTATGTACTAGGAATGTTGCTTCTTTGCACCTACCTGAAAGATTGTGCTAAGAACCTACTTTATAGAACATTATTTGAATATTGTCATACGAACATTATTATAATGTACCCTAAAAAATGTTCTTTCAGCTAATATCTCTATCAAGTATTAAGAATATACCAACCAAGTTGTGCTGAGAAGTTTATGTAGGTAGGTAACCATGATAAGAATATTTTCATAGCATTCACCTAATTATCTAAAGTACCTACACAAAAATCTTGAATGAACAATTAAACAATAATCCTCTATCTAGAACCTACTAAAATATTATAGTACAACGGTCGAAATTTGATCGTGGCGCCATCTAAGACAAAGCTTCAACACCAAACAGCAATTTTCGCTGCAATCTGCAATATGGTGACTGAGTATCTAATCGGCCGACCAAAATTCATTTTTGGAAATATTATAGGTATATCACAGCCCTGTATATTCTTTTTCATTTGCTTTGTCTAGCGTTTGAATCTCCTTGGAAACTGTTTCTCTCAGTTGGCGTGCTTACCGCGACGAGAGCATAACAAGCTCGAAGCCGGAGCTTTGGTTAAACACTTGTGTTTTCCAGAGAAGTTTTCCAACAACTCTTTCACTGCCTTTAATATAAAAGGACTGAAAGGGCCGAAAGGGGCATTATTTGGATGCGAAAATTGACATTCCAAGTATATCCTTAGAATCAAACAAGAATATTTATGTCTAGGATGCATATTGAGAATGATATATGTGGATATATATTCTAAGAATCTTTCAAGAATATTGGTCTAATATTCTTTTGAGAACATAACTATATGTCATAGGAACATTCTTTCAATGTGAGAATATACATTTCAAGCACATTTTTAGAATAAAACAGGAATATTCTTTTCAGGATGTACTGAGAATCTCATAGGTAGATTCTAGGAATATCCCAATGGATTTCCCAGGAAGTTCTTGGGTATTGCAAACAGTATTTCTACAATCTTTCCTCAGAACATTCTCAGGACATTCGCAATGGTTTTGGCGAACATTCTAGGCACATTCCTCCTAAAAAAAAGAACATTCTTATTACATTCTAAAGATGCAATTTTGTTATGTGGGGATTGATATGGAGAAGATACATCTCCTATATATCACCAATATTGGATAAATATTAAATATAAACATGAGTAAAAGTTATTGCCAAATATGGATTATCAATATGTATTGAATCAATATCGGATTCACATATTATATGATAATAATGTAGGAAAAAAGTTAATCTCCTATACAGGGTGTCCCACGGTGGATGGCGTATTAGACGTTTATGGAGAACTAAAAAGCGGATCATTTTGAAAATTTGGCAACCGGGATAAACGACCATGATCTACACTTTAAAAATATTTTTGACCATGCGGTGTTGCCGCTTCTACTCTAAACTAGTGGCAACATCACTATTTTAAATGGAACACCCCGTATTAAATTGCATATTTGGATTCTACGTAAAATTCTAAGCAGATTTCATGTGATATACCCTATACCTAAGTTCAACTGTTTTGGAAATATTGACAGTTGAAAATTGACTTTTTGCAACTTTGACAGGCTGTAGAACGTAGAATGTAGTAGAATGGTTTTTGTTCATTGTGCTGTATTTTGTCTTTTAAGCGGATTAGTTCTGGTTCCAAATACTTCATCCTGGTGGGTTAGCTAGATCGTGGGGTGATATCGGTCCCACGGTCTAAGTGTCGTTTCTTGGTTTGTTATGCTTGTTGTTTATTGATGCAGACATGAGCCCCTACTTAGTTCAGAGCTATCGCAAGGTACCAGTTATCCTTCCAGTTCTGGTTCCGGCTTTGCTATGTCCGTCTTTGGTTGAAGTTTTGTGAATACATGCAAAAAATAAATTTTGAAAAAAATGCTTATAGGTACCTATAATTAGTTTAATTATGACCCACATTTGGGCCACCAAATTTCATCTTCTGCTTATTTGTTGATCATCAACCGGTAAGTTTAGTCCAACTTGTTTTTTGTGAACCCATACGCCTTCTTTTTGTAGCTCGTACTTTTTTAAGAACCCTTCGGCGGCTTCTACGGAGGGAATGCCCAGCCCTTCCGTCGATAAGAGTATTTCTGATTCTTTTTCTTTTATAGTAATTCATATTCTCTATCTTCCCTTAGAATTATGAGGTCATCCACTGATTTCCTCTAATACGTTCCTCTCCATCCCTACTTGTATACTCTATTTTTTCTCCTATCTCTACTTCCTATTTCCCTACTTCATAGTTTTGCTTATCTCTACAATCAGTCTTCTTCTACCTCGTAATTCACTTCTCCCATTTTTCTAATTACTTTGTATGGTCCAAACCATCTTCGCTTCTTCCAACCTTTCTAATTGGTATGAACTATGAACACCTTAACTTTGTCTCCAACTACGAAATCGAATTTTCTATATCGTTCGTCAAAACGTCATGTATCTTTTCCTAGTCTTTTTCGTATCTTACTGCTATGACTCTTATCAAGAATGCCCTTTCTCTAATCTTTCACTCTCCGGCAGGATGTTCGGAAATTTCTGCTTAGAGAAAAAATGCGCCTTCGCCACGGTGTCGGAAATCTTCCTTTGTCTTCGCCACGGTGTCGTGAATTTATCTCTTGTCGACGTAACCGGATGGTAGCGTGGTGTGGGTGTTGGCTTGCTTTAAAGCGTCGGTTCTTGGGCATCGAGTTTGAGAAGGCACCTCCACCAAATGTCACAACCTCTCTGTGACGGGGGGTGTAGGGTGGATAGATGGAGAGAAATTCGCTCAGGTTATATTATAAAAATATGTATAGGTATTTGCTATAAAGTCGCTACGTCATGAATTCTCCAGGATGCATGCTCTTCCGTGGATAGGGCCACACGTTTGACGCTACCACAGAATACGCTACTTAGGAATGTCGGTTTAATGCTAATGTTACGTTGAATGCTAATGGTCGTTTAACTGATCCTCATATAGAGGGGCTTTCCAAGAGTGGCAGTACTTGCACTGGGGAGACTTGACTCCAAAGGGGTGTTCCCAGGGTAGGGGTACTAACACTGGTTCAAGTCTGTCTCCGCTTGGCCCACTAAATGATTTTATTGCTGAATTGCAATAAACATCCGACCGAATCGGTAATTAAATTAATAAGGTTGAATACCGGGCCCTCCTCTCCTAAGTAGCTAGTTGACAATATCAAAACTGTCTAATAATCACCCTTTATATAAAATCCTTGCCACAAATCTCTTTTAAGAGAATGCTAGATTTTATATTAATCAATTTGTATGATGTAGGTACCTATATTATTAATAGGAGGAAAGAGAGATATTAGTTGTGTGATGTAGTTGTCATGGGTGCAATAAATACAGCCAATTGTACCTACCCAGAAAACATGGTAGTTTTATTATGTTATGCAATCTATTAAAATAAGTAAGATATTTTGTTTGAATGAATAATTGGCGTATCAACAAGAAATTTACAAAAACTCAATTTTTAAAAACTATGCGATAGGAATATTTTCTTAAATTCGCATTTTGTGAAATGAAGCAGAGTGATTGAAATTCCTTCAATGTTAAACTGACACAATAAATACCTAATCAAACAACAACCAACAACATCAAACTTGCATGTGTATAAATAGGTATATTTATTTATAAACAAAATATAATTTATTATAAAACAGTACTTAAATAAAAAAAATAATAATACTTAACGTTATAAACACTTGAAAATATTTCTATTGCTGGGCATCAGCAATTAACTGACTCTGTCTTTTTTTTGGCGCCCGTCTCAAGCTTCCCAAGATGTTGAGGAGTTCTGACACCGCTTTGGGGGTTTCTTTATCTTTCTCTTTAGGTTCATTATTATTGTCCTTTCTTCGCTTTCTCAAAGTGAATTTACCTTCTTTTATAGCGTTTATGATATCTTCGTTAACACCAGGCGCTGGAGGTTTCTTTTCTGCGGCAGTTTCTTGGACACCTATGGTAATCGCAATATCTTCTACAGTGGCCCTGCTTTTTCGTCTGCGAAGAGGAACTACTGGTGGCTTATCCATGGGTATCAGTGGTGGTGGTGGCGGTGGCGGAGGTGGGGGTGGAGGAGCTCTTAGATTTTGTTCGGCAGCCTCAGCCCGTGCAATGGCTTCTTGGAGTTCTGCTTCAACTAACTTCAATCTTTCTTCGAGTATTTCAATATGAGAGTTGTTTTCTTGATCTTCCAGTCGCTCCTGAAATTCAACATGATGGTTCATTAAATTATGCACAATTTATTTTGGTAATGATCTGAGAGAAATTACTGAAGCCTGCTAACAAAATCGTGAATGTGCTTTGGCAGATAGAACCTATTTGTGTAAAACACCTGAAATATATAGCCATCTATCCACTAAAGCTCACTTTCTATCGCTGTGAATTGAAACAAATTGTTTTTTTTTTGCCAACAGGAGCAGTAATTTTTCAAAATTGTCCAAAAGGAACATGTTTTGCTATTCGTGTTTTACAATCCGCCTTGATACATGCTCTCTTAAAGATTGATAAACATATTTTAGTTAAATTGTTGACCTTCGCACAAGCGCAATTATTACCTGTAAGCTATTTAGTTCTTCCTCGTATTTGGTTCTTTCATCTTCTATCGTTCTCTTAAGATTTTCTATTTCTTGCAGAAGCATCAAGGAATCGGTCCCGCTCTCTTCACTGAGTCCTTGAAGCAACAAATTGCTTTGGTGGGCCAGAATGTTTCTCTCCTTTTTCTGCTCACCGGCTTCTTTCCTATTAAAAGGAAGATTTTAGCACAACTAACATTGACTCACATAGGCAATTTATATAATGCTAACCTTAAGTCCTTTATTTCATTTCGTTGACACTCCTTCATTTCTCTCATTTCCTCCATTTCCTTCGTCATCATTTGAGATACCCGCAACAACTGATTGTGTTCTGTTCGAAGTTCATCGAGATTTTTCTGTAGAGACATGTTTTCTCTTCTGACTAAATCCAAATCCTAAAAAAAGCACATATTTTTTAATTCCTTAGTAAAAAAGTTGATAAATATGATAAACCTACTTCCGATAATTTGGCATTTAGCTCTAGCGTTTGGAATTCATTTTGTCGTACAGAATCTAATTCAGTCTGTAGTTCTGCTACTTCTGTACTAAGCTGCTTGATCGTTTTATTTAAATTTTCAATATCCGCATCGTGGGCGGCCTCTCCAGCATCAACCCCTTCGTCAACTGTATCTTTATCCGCCAATAGCAATGTTTTTCTTTTCAGTTGCTTGTTTTCCTTATACCATTGTGTGGCATCTTTGAGAGCTCTGAATATTTACCTATGTTTAAGAATTTCTTTACAATAATTTTGTCTTACCTTGCCATAGCGCCCGTTTCGGTTTCATACTGGTTCTTTAACGTTTCGTACTCCTTATAAAGGTTTTTTGATGCTGTTGATAGCTTGGTAAATTCTTCATTTTTCTCGAAAAGTTCAGTTTCGAGGTGTTCATGTTTTACTTGAAGATTAAGATGCTTTTTCTCAAGATCATTCAGACTTCTCAAAGCTGAAATTTAATGCAGAATTCATTAAGTAAAACTGTAGGTACACGTACAACTGAAATTACCTTTTTCTTTCTCTGTTAATAAAGCTTTTCTTTTCTCTTCGCTCTCTTCGTATTTTTGTTTCCATCGATGAGCTGGATCGCTAGATAACCTGGGTTTTGTAGAGGTGATACTAGAATTCGAACTCTGCCTACTTAATGTTCTGCGCAATGGAATGTTGGAACCTGCATTGTATTTTGGTATTGCTATGGTGTGTCTGTTATTCTGGTTCATTATGTCACAGCTTTAGGTACCTGTAACATATAATATTATTTTGTAATGTGTGGACTTCATTAATAGAGAAGATAGAGATATAAGTCATGCAAATTTGTACAATAAGGAGTATAGTTCTTCATGCCTTTGTATTTTGTTTGAATGGCGATGGATGTTATAGTAGAGTAAAAAGCCTGCTCTATAGTGTCAACCGGTTTACACTTTGTTGGTAAAAGCAACAATCATTTTTTAAAGATTCGTTATCGAAAAAGAAGAAAATTTGGCTTGGTCGTATAAAATTCGTACTGTACAGGGGGGTTGTAGGGGTAAATTTATGAAAAATTGGTAATTTTTCTTTTGAACTTTTGAAATCTCCAGCACTTCAGCTCTATTTCGGTATAATATTTTACTCGTATTTCGTTTCCAAATATTTATTTATTAGTTGTTAAATTGACGCCATTTCAATGCATTGTTATGGACCGCCTTAATACATAAACGCTCGCCCTGTAATCGCATACCGTAAAACGGGGCTACTTGAAAGTTACGAGGCAACTTGAAAATCCTTGCATCATAAATTAATATATTGTCCTACCACCTTGGTGTTAAAGATGGAACCCCGTAAATCCCAAAACGGTTGCACCATGTTATGAGAGTCCACGTGGTGCTATTGAGATCACCCTCGGTTGTTCATGTTGCCGAGTCGCTGTGGCAGAATTTTAAGACAAAACACGTGTTATTTTTGAGGCTGAATACTTCCAGTTTGTGCAGGTAAGTGAAATATTTCTAAGTGGCGTCAAATTAATTTTGGTATGCCTACTTATTAGGCTAAAAGGGTATGGCAATAGATCAACGATGGTCATCATAGTTTACAAATGGCGGCCTCATTTATATTTTTTTTTGTCATTCCTGGGGCTACTTGACAAATGGTGCAAAACTATGTACGATTTATTGGGAGTAGAAAATACAGAAATTATTCGGATGAAAACTTGCGCGAGGGCATTGGAAGGTTCCAACAAGCTTGCACAGTGGCGGATCTAGCATGAAGCAAACGACTTACTCTGCGTCGGGCCCCCAGAGCTGAGGGGCCCCCACACAACCAGATTTTAAAGGGACCGATAAAAAACGAAAATTAAAAAAAAAATGAACTTGACGATATAAAAAAAAATCGAAAATAAATTTTGAAAGACACACTAACATTGTATACCATGATGCTCATTCTCGAAACCGGGGAACAGCGCCGTTCTCACGAGAAAGAACGATTGCTCTGTCTTCGTCAGTGTTATAGAAATAGAAATATGGGCAACTAAGGCAGAATCTTCGTGGTCATGAGAACGCTTATCCCCTGTTTGGAGAATAGAGGCCCTGTAGGCTGGGAATCCAGGGCTGGGATCGCCACAAGTAGAATTCCGCTTTCATGACGTCATTCGCGATCTATTTATCGCGTACAGTACAGGTGATGATGACAGTTGCTAGGCAACCTGACGTCATAAAAGTAGAATTCTAGTAGAATGTCGTGATCCCAGCCCTGATGCGCTCGACGCGATGCGGCAACCATAGACGCATCGACTACGCGGTTTTTTCAGGTATTGTCTTTCAGACTCCAGATATAATTTTTGGCACTTGTCGGTGGAGTACGGACAGTATCACCACAGCATGTATCAGTGCGGTACTACTATGTTGTATTTCTTTTTGTTTAGATAAAAAGTTCCGGAATTTTTACAATTTATTTAAAATAATTTTTCAAATCCTTCAAAATGTTTTATTTGTTTTGTATGCGTAATAATCAAATACTTAAATGTATATACCATAATTTGAGACAGAGTGAGTACCCATACTTATTATAAACTATTAAATGCAATATTTATTGCATTTTTTCTGAACAAAATGTATTCAAATGTACCCCAACTAAGCGGAATAGGCTCTATGTGCGCGCTGGAGCATAGGGTCGGAAATCGCTCGAACGGTGTGGCAATTATGAACCTTCATCGCATGAGTACGGTCGCCGTTGATAAATCGGACACTAAAGCACAAAAAAGATCATAGCGACGAGACTATCCATTTTTTTCCAGATTACAAAAAACCAAATGAATCCTCAATGTCAGAGCTACATCGTTTACTTCAGGGTATTTTTCGATAAATCTACTGGTTATCGAGTTATGGGAGGTTAAACAATTTACAAAGTATGCGATTACAGGGCGAGCGTTTATGTATTAAGGCTCTCCATAAGAATGCATTGAAATGGCGTCATTTAACAACTAATAAATAAATATTTGGAAACGAAATACGAGTAAAATATTATACCGAAATAGAGCTGGAGTGCTGGAGATTTCAAAACTGTAGAATTTATGATATAAGTGCTAAAAGTGACATTTTATTTTGTGAAAAGGGAAGTTTGGGACACGACGCCGAAGGCAAGGTTCCATCCCTTTGAAAAAAATAAAATCACTTTTAGCACGAATATCATACACTCTTTTTTCTACAAACGCACTAAAAGTGATTACTTTTAGCACTAGTGCTAAAAGTAATCACTTTTAACACCAGTGTCATAAAATGGCATTTTAGACACTGATAGCATCTGTTAAAAATGACACTTTTAGTGACGTTTGTAGAAAAAAAATTTTATCAATTTTTCATAAATTCACCTTCTACAACCCCCTTGCAGGACGAATTTTATACGATCAAGCCAAATCTTGTTCTATTTCGATAACGAACCTTTCAAGAAAGGTCGCTGCTATTAACAACAAAGTGCAAACGAAAATCGTTTCTTGGCGACCTTTTAAGCTTGTTAAACTCTACTATTACCCCAGGGAAATTAGACTTCCTCTGCGGAATGAGGCCGAACAAGCTGAATTTTTACAGAGAGCTTCGTTTTGATGTTCTAATGAAGCACAAAAAAATCGAATATGCCTATACCCTTGTGCGTATTGAGATATCGAAGGTCAAATGTTATCCTACATCAATAATCCCTGAAATTTTGAACAGCCCAGCATTAGCTCTCCAGATGATATGAAAGGGGGTTGTTTAAATTTCAACACACTATATTTTGCAAAGGACGCACTTCCGACCATCGGTGTCCTATCTCAAATTACTTCTCTATGGTTCCTCTATATTCTCTAGCATTTTTGACCAGTTGAACGGAGACACCCTGTATAATACAGTATTACCTATTTTGAATGCGCGCTCCCGCTTTATCACACTATATTTCGAAAACGGTTGGTCGTACAAAAAAATGTACATGAACAATTTTGTAGATACTATTTTACGTAAGTTTTGTTTTGAGTTCTTCGACGTCAGATGCACTGAAAGCGAGATTTTCGCAAAAAACCGATTTTCGTGACCATTGACCTTCGATATCTCAAGACACACAAGGGCAGGCATATTCGATTTTTTTGTACTTCATTAGAACATCAAAATGAAGGTCTCTGCAATTTTAATTCAGCTTGTTCGGCTTCATTCCGCAAATGGCCCTTTTTTTGGTCTAATTTCCCTGGGGTATATTATAGAAAAATAATTAAAAAATTGTATCAAAATGGATCTTGATAATTCGGCTACCAAAAACATCTCTCACTATTCAATGAATACAAATTCTAACTAGCTTTAAGGAGATCTGCCAACACTTTTGTATCACTCCTATTATTGCCGAATTCTGATCGTTGATGCTTTTTCTTCCTGGCGAATCGAGGGTAATCCTTCGCATTACAGTAAGAAGTGATCTCATCGAAAACTTTAAGATTACAAGTGCCACTTCGACAAATTCAACTTCAATCAAGCTGAAAATCTGTAGATGGCACAACAAAATGAGCGTTGTACCAACTTCTATCAAAAAGAGTTGCAATTCAGAAATCCCGCGTGTGTGAATGTGCATTCAGCAAAATGTATAATTATTACAAGTGGGTAATCATTTGCCGAAATATCTCTGGCGTTGCCATTTCAGTAAGAACAAATTTCGATGAAACTGTCACCAGAGGCAAACTGGTAATATTCACAACTTTGCGGTAGGTATGGTATATCATCATATTAACGTGTTTCAAACAAAGCTGTTCAAATATGAGTCAAGGCAATATTATAATTACTTACTGATAAGAAAATGATCCTGATACAATTTCTCCGCACGTAATGTTAGCTACTAAATATTTCCATATCTTGTAAATCTTCCATAATGTTAAGCAATAAATCGAAAACATTTCAATTATTAAGGACATCGAATCTTTATTACCTAGGTCGGTACTCATTTTAACAGTTGTCCCAGTTTATTCTCAATTAATAATCAATAGCATTTTTCGTTCCAATAAATTTTATTACTTCAAAAGCATTACATTCTGCTTGGGAGATCTGAATTCAAAAAAGGTTAAATATATTAATCAACGATTTTTTTACGTTCTGCTATCAATTTAATACCTAGTGAACAGGGAGATTAGCACTTTAATAAACGATGTTACTTTCATTTTAATTGAGTAAAAAATTTCTTCTATCGGAATTCCCGATAATTACGCAGCGTTACTAACAGCATTTCGAATAGTTGTACTAATATGGAATTATTAAATTAATGAAGCGTTTTATTAGGTAATTGTGAGAATGGTTCGCATCAGAGACATTAATGATGGCCAATTTTGGAATTGATGGATTAAAAGATATACCTAGAAGTACTTATGAAGGCATTGACGAGTTCTACACCAAAAATGGTATACAAAATATTGTGAAGAACATAAAATGAATAAACTAAACTAAACATATTTTTTTTATGAAATAGTTTGTTTGAAAACATATGCGTTAACGCTATGCAAATCGAAACTGGATTTTGTACCTAATATAATGGGTACGTGAAAACAATTTCATTTTTTAAATTCTATTTCTATTTACTTCAAAGCCACTGAGATATCTTTAAAAGGGTTGTTTTTTCTACAATAATGATTTAGAAGCTTTAGGGCCAATGTATGAACCGACTGGTAACATTATTGGCAAATTTCTCCTGCTGGTAAAGCTAAAAATTGTACTCAATTCTCAGTTTTACCATCAGCAGGGTAAATTTGCCAGAGACGTT